TCACTCATTACCAAAAGCGTCAAATCCTAGATTTCAAAAATACCCTTTAGATCCACGAAATCATCATAGAAATTAAATCATCCGAAAAGTTCATTTATTTTTGAGTTACCTAAAAAATCCAAAAAGTTGATAAATGTTGTCCATCCCACCATTGCATTCCAAAATAATTAATCTAGTGGTAGATAATGAGGTGTACCAAAGGGTGTACATCCCACTCACATGGGAGTGTGGGGTCCACCATAATAAGTATTTTTTATTCGAGTGGATTCCACACCCTATGTGAGAGAGGTGTACACGCTTAAGTACACCTCTATATACCACTAACACCACCGTTCCAAATATGGGGCTCCAAAAAAAAAAAGGATATGGAATGGGCATGGGCCCAAAGTTTAGTGCGGGCAACTGTTAAGATTTGGGGTCCATCTTAATAAGGTCAACCTTGTTAAGAGGAGTGACCCAAAATCTATTTAAGTTGGCCAATATTTCGATATTTAACCGATGTGAGATTTATTCTCTTAACATGCCCTCGCAAGATGGTGGCTCTTTTTGAGCAGACCAATCTTGAAATCCGTGTGCTCATTTTTTAGACTTAATCGGATCAAATAGCTCGTTAGAGTTTATTGGGATCTGATACCATGTTAAGACTTGTGGTCCATCTTAATGAGGTCAACCTTGTTAAGAGGAATGACCCAAGATCTATTTAAGTTAGCCAATATTTCAGTATTTAATCGATGTAGAATTTATTCCCTTAACAGCAACTACCCACAGTGGACCATTTGGGGCTCCGCCCCTGGCCAACAAAAGAAGGTTCTCTACATAAATCAAAAGTCAAATGAGGCAGCACCATTGTCACAAAGACATTAAGAGAAATATTTAGGACTATTAAGTAAAAATGAACAAAATATAAAAGAATAAACTTGATATTTGAATTCAAAAGTCGGAAATAAAATAAATAACCATACAACATACTTCAATGTCAATCCTTCTTCCATTCAAGAATGAAGGCAAATTGGTGGATCAATCAACAGTGTCTTCCTTCCAGCGGCAGGTTGGAGAGTTCGATTTCTGGTGGGAACTTGCGGCCAAAAAATTTGGTATGGAGCAATCATTGTGGAGGAGGGTCTTTTGTGCGTAGAAGTGTACAGGCAATGGGGGGAACCTGTGATCCAGTTGAGTCATAACCCGCGATTTATCCCCTCCAAGGTTCTAGGGGCAAGGGCCTTAGAGGTCCAAGATTTAGTTTGGTGTAAATTGGGATACCTGGATATAAAAAAAAAAAAAAAAAAAGAATGGAGGCAAATTTTTTCACTATAACCTATACATTTTTTCAATACGTCCATGTCTATATTGCACAATCTTGACTGAGTATAAAATTATTGGAGATTTCACTGGTGACTGAACCCTCTACTCCACATCTTCGTTTATAATGAATTGTATAAACTTGGAATAGGATATCAAAGAATCAAGAGAAGGGAAAGACAAAAGCAAAGTTGATTAAAATTCTCCCAGAAAAACTTGAAAACATTTTCTGTTATTGGCGTCCCGCCTCAGAGGAAATTGCAGTTCTAATTTGTCAAAATAATATGTTTATATGATGCTTCAGAAATGGCTGATTCCTATAACTTGACAACTGATAAAAAAAAACATGCCAGGGGAGCCAGCGAACATGCCTCATCGAAAGCTCACTATAACATTCCTCGGTTAGCAAAATTCTTCTTTGGTTAAGTTCCAACCTACACAAAATGTGTAACAATCCAGACACTCTCGCCCTGTAGCTATAAAGGGCTAAGATTCTACCGCTAAAATTTTTGTTTTCTAAAATGAACTCAACAATGAGGATAAGCTTCATCCTTGGAAAGGAAATAGCTCAAATCCACCTACAGAGATGCTGAGATAACCAAAAGGTTTTCCTAGAAGATGTCAGCCTCGATAATGTGCGTGGTAATTTATATAGTTTAAGTGAAGGAGTCATTGATCAAGAATTTATATAGTTTAGGCGAAGGATTCATCGATCAAGACTCTCGAAATTTTATATAATTTAGGGGAAGAATTCATTGATCAAGACACAGAAGTGCACATGATATAATTATGGTGAAAATCGAACAAAGTGACGAAGATAGGGAAGAAAAAAAAAATGACACCTATGATTGTGCATTCAAAATTCAGGAGGTTCTTTTAGCATTTGAATCATTTATACAGTTAATAATTCGTGGAATTGACTGTGCAAGTTCATAGACACTCATAAGATAGTAAAATAGAAAGCACGTCATAATTCATACTACTAAACAGGAAGTACACAAATAGACACTAGTTACATTCAGTTACAAGTTCAAGAAAAACAGAGAAATCTGAAATCTCCATTTGTTTTGCATGGAAAAAAACACCAGCTGACCAAAATGCAGAGACTTTTGTACTACTTATATAAACATAAACTCCAGGGCCTCTGCATATGTCAAAAAAACCATCGCAGAGGCCACAACTGGCACCAAACTAAACCTGGATTACAACAGAAAGATCCTAGGAATAAACCAAGTATTTAGAAGCATATGGCATATTATTATAAAGCTGCCCAATCTATCTCCACAGAAGGATATTTCTCCAACATGTTATCGGATTCTTCGAAAGAAGGCTCTGAGAAATCCAGAAAGGTAATATCAGATTTTGGTGAAGCTGACCCCTCATCAGTTGGGGAAGGTGACGATGAAGCCTCCACCTTGATGTTATCCTCTAATACCTGGTTTCTAAATCCTCTATTCAGGGATTCTTCTACATTCGGAGCACTTGTTGGTGTTGAAATTTCAGCCTTTGCATCAGATTTAAAACAGGGCCTTTCAGAATTCACCTGTTTCTGAGAGTTAGCCAAGCTTTGACATATTGCTTGAAGCTTGGCGTCAACAGAGGAATGCAGGGGCTTGAAATCACTGAATTCCTGGCACCACTGATGCCTAAGGTTGGGGAAATTGAGCCTTGCAAACTCTCCTCTTAGCTTATATGCAGCCTTATCATACGCTAAAGCCGCTTCCTCAGCTGTGTCAAAAGTCCCAAGCCAAAGCCTAGTTCTGTTCTTTGGAAGTCTAATCTCCGCAACCCATTTTCCCCAATGCCGTTGCCTAACTCCCCGGTAAAGCTTCGTGGGCTTGGAGGAAGTTCCAGCATGTTTCATTGGGACAGGTTTCGGACCAAGGAAGCTTGAGAATTGGTTCTGCTTATGCAGCATATGGATGGGAGTGTAATTCATTTGTTGATTTTGGAATTGCTGCTGCTGGAGTTGGAATTGAGCCTGGATTTGAAGGATCTGAGATGGGGTGAGGAGATTTAGCCCAATAGTACCATCAGTTTGCTCATATCCAAAACTACAAAACCCGGGATAAAATTCTTGGGTTATTGAAGGGTTTGAGCAAAAACCTGAGTACATATTGGATTCTGTAGAAAGAGAAGAAGTAGAAGAGTCAAAAGGGTAGTCAGTAGGAGGAGGAGAAGCAGAAGTTGAAGGAGAAGAAAGAGGAGGAGGTGAAGAAGAGGAGGTAATTGAAGCACTTTTCATAAATGGTAAAAGTGCTTGCATAAGCTCTTCCCTGAAGGGATCTGAAGAAAAACCTTGACTGCTGCTAGCGCTGAATATATCTATAGCTGCTGCCATGATTTCTTATCAAGCAAAATACAGAATTCAAATAAAGCAAAAGTAACAAAATACAAAACTTTCCACACAAAGGAGCAAAGAGGTCTCAAATAAACAACCCTTTGTTACCCTTAAAACTATACTGAATTCAAGAGAGAAGGAAAACCAACCTGAGGGATTAAAAAACAGACCCTCTTAGTTGTCCTGAGTAAAAAAGAGAATGAAATGTACACTAAAAAGTGATCTCTATTCTGAATCACCTGGCTTTCAAAAAAATAAAAAACGCCCTTCCGGGGTTTGCTAAGAATTTCTTTCAAGTTCAAGATCAAGAAAATCAAACCCCGAAATTTTTTTTTATCAATTTTTGAAAGACAGACGATGACAGAAAGGGGATCCAAGAAGCGGGGATTAACAGAGGGGGAAAATAAGAAAATTTGAAGAGAAATGAAAATACACACACTAGTTTTTGCTGCCTCACTGTACTTTTCACTCTTGGAATTGGCTGTAAGCAATCTGTATGCCCTATATAAAGGCCTAGACCATGGCTTTCTCTCTCTTGATTAATTTGATTCTCTCTCTTTACCCATTTTTCCTCTATCTTGCGTAACTATGATCCTATGTTTCTACTGGCAAGTGGCATGTTGACACGTGTGTAGGTGACTGGCATCTGTCTGTTGTTTTATTCTTATAAGACACGTGGTATCTATCCATTGGAAAAAAACCTTTTGTTGACTTGTAATAGGCAATGGACTTTCGACTTTTGGTAGATTATATTCCTTTCAGTTCTTTCTACCGTTTAGAGCATGCCAGATAAAATTATGATTCATACCTAATTTACGAGCAATCTGAACCATTGGATCTCTATAATCATAATCCTAAAATTATGTGGACCTAAATTCATCCGTATTTTAAAAAATTTAAATTATTTTACAAATTAATTTGCCCATAAAAATTATGTGTAATTGTGATCTGTAAATTATAGAAAAAATTGCAACAGAGGCTCCAAATCTTTAAAATATTAGCAGATTTTCTCCAAATCTTTAATTTGTTGCAACAGTCATTCCAAATCGTTTGAAACGTTACGGCAGAGGCCCTTTTTGATGGTTTTCATCCAAATGTCTGTTAGTTGACCAAAAAATTTGACTTTGACCATATTTTTAATATTTTTGAAATGGTAAAATAGTAAATTTTCATTTATTACATTAAAATAAGTTAGAAATTAAATTTTAAAAAAAAGAAATTAGAAAATAAAAATCAATCATCTCCTTCCTCCCACCCCCCCCCACCCCAC